CGAGCCAGCCCGAGCAATGACGAGAACCCGCCTGTCCTATTTGGGAGGCCGAGGAGGGAGGTCGCCGCTCTGTAAGAGGCAGCCCGAGCAAAAGAGCGAAAAACCCGCTGTCTATATTACTGGGAGGCCGGAGGAGGACGGCCGCCTGTAGAGCAGGAGATAGTGATTCCCAGGCCCGAGCAAAGAGCGAGAACCCCCTCTCCGTCTCCTGAAACACAAACAGATCGATGAACCGACGGCTAAAAAAAAAAAACCACGTAAAAAAAAAACGAGCTGGGCGCGGTATCTTGGGGGGGAAAGGGAGGCGTGAGGGCGGAGGATGGCTTGCAGGCCAGGAATTGAGCTGCTGTGAGTTTTGGATCTAGACCAGTGAGGGGCTCTGCAAGTCTGCTAAATTCTAGAACAGTGCCGGGCTTTGCAAGTTTGCTAAGATCTAGGACAGTGGCGGGCTTTCCAAGTGTGCTAAGATCTAGAACAGCGACGGGCTCTGCAAGTTCGCTAAGATCTAGAACAGTGGCGGACTCTGCAAGTTCGCTAAGATCTAGAACAGTGGCGGGCTTTCCAAGTGTGCTAAGATCTAGAACAGTGGCGGGCTCTGCACTTTGCTAAGATCTGGAACAGTGGCGAGCTTTGCAGGTTTGCTAAGATCTAGAACAGTTGTGGGCTTTGCACGTTTCATAAGATCTAGAACAGTAGCAGGCTCTGCAAGTTTGCTAAGATCTAGACCAGTGGCGGGCTTTGCAAGTTTGCTAAGATCTAGAACAGCGACGGGCTTTGCAAGTTTGCTAAGTTCTAGAACAGTGCCGGGCTTTGCAAGTTTGCTAAAACTTAGAACAGTTATGGCTTGCAAGCTGGCTAGATTAGAACAGTGGGGAGCTTTGCAAGTGCTGTTTAAAGATCTAGTACCCAGTGGGCTCTGCAAGTTTGGCTTAAATTAGAACAGTGCGGCCTGCAGAGTTTGCTAAATCTAGAACAGTGAGGGCTCTGCAAGTCTGCTAAAGTCTAAGAACAGTGAGGGGCTCTGCAAGTCTGCTAAGATCTGAGACCAGTGGAGGGTCTGCAGATCTGCTAAATCTAACCAGTGGCGGCTTTCTGCAAGTTTGCTACGATCTAGACAGTAGCACGCTTTGCATAGTTTGCTAAATGTAGGACAGTGCGGGCTTTGCAAGCTCTGCTAAGATCTAGAACAGCGACGGCTCTGCGGCAGTTTGCTAAGATCTAGAAAGTGACGGGCCCCTTGCAAACGTGTGCTAGATCTAGAACAGGATGGGCCTTGCAGATGTGCTAAGCATCATAAACAGCTGTATGGCCTGCAAGTGTGCCAAATCTAGACAGCGATGGGCCTTGCAAGTTGCTAATCTAGAATACAGCGAACGGGCTTGCAAGTGTGCTAAGATCTAAACAGTGAGGGCTTTGCAAGACGTGTGCTAAGACTAGAACACGCGATGGGCCTTGCAAGTGTGCCAATGATCTAGAACAGCGATGGGCCTTGCAAGTGTGCTAAATCTAGAACGCGACGGGCCGTTGCAAGTTGTGCTTAGTTTTAGAACAGTGCGGGCTTTGCAAGTTTGCTAAAACTTAAAAAGAACATTACGCTTTTGCAAGTTGCTAAGATCTAGAACAGCGGCGGGCTTTGCAATCTGTTAAGATCTAGACATGGAGGGCTCTGCAAGTCTGGCTAAATTAGACCAGTGGCCGCTCTGCAGTGTTGCTCAGCTCTAGAACAGTAGCAGGCTTTGGCAGTTTGCTTAAGATCTAGACCAGTGCGGCTTTGCAAGCTGCTAAGATCTCAGAACACGGACGGGCCTTGCAAGTGTGCCAAGAATTAGAACAGCGATGGTTGCAAGTTGCCAACCGACGGCGTTAGATCTAGAACAGTGGAGGGGCTTGCCAAGTCTGCTAGATCTAGAACAGTGACAGACTTTAGTTTGTTCAAAGGATAGACACCCGATGGGGCATGTCTCGACGACAGCCTCAGCATGCCCTTGCCACCGCTCTGCCGGACACTGTCACTTAAAAAAAAAAAAAAAAAGCCCCTTCCCGTCTGTCTGCAGCCACCTGGGTGGGGGCCCTGGTCCCCGCTGCGCCCAGCGTGGAGCTGTCGCAGGGCGTGTCGCCGGCCGTGTCGCTTGCAGTGTTTGTGCGTACGACGGTTTCCACCGTCCCCTCTCCGTGAGCCGATTCCCTCCCTGTCCCCTCGTCGCGCCGCCCGCCGCACAGCGCCACCCTGCAGTGCTAAGGAGGGATAAGCCCGGCAAGCGCCGCTCTTGTTGCTTCCCGCGTGACAGACAGGGAAGCGTGCGAGCTGGGGGCAGCCCCTTGCGTCTCCCGGTGTCTGCTAGCTGTCACCTGATGGGGACAGCGCTGCATCGCTCGCGCCGGTGGTAGGTTTCCAGCAAGGGGGTTGTGTGTGAGAGAGTTTCAGAGACAAGAGACAGAGAGAGAGACGAGACAGAGAGAGAGAGAACAGAGATAGAAAGACAGGAGAGACACAGAACACAGAGGAGACAGGAAGAGAGATGACAGAGAGAGAGACAGACAGGAGACCAGAGACAGGACAGAGAGAAGACAGAGAGAGACACAAAGATACCGAAGAGACAGAGACAGACACAGAGACAGAGAGAAGAGAGGGGAGGAGGGGTAGGAGGTGTAGTTCGTGGGTGCACGGTGTGTTATTCATTACGCGATTAGCAATGGTTAATATTGCATTACGTATTAGCAGTACAAGATGAATTCATACAATACTAGTAGCAATTTCGCAAGGTTAATTCATTAGCAATATAGCAGTTAGGCACAGATGAATCGATAGAAGATGAGTAGAATATTAGTAGATGAATTCATTAGCATACTGTTAGCATAGCAAGATACTTCTCATTAGCAATGTTAGTTATGCATGTGTAGCAAAGATGATTCATTAGCAATGTTAAGCAAGTTAGGAAGAGAATTCGTTAGCAATGTTAGTTACAATTAGCAATGATGAATTCATTAGAGTATTAGCAATTATAGCAAGATGAATCTCATTAGCAGTATTACGCAGTTATTAGCAAGATGAATTAATAGCAATGTTAGTTAGCAATTAGCAAGTGAATTCATTAGCAGTTATCAGAGTGGAGCGCGTAATTGCGATGAGCAGTATCAGCAGTGGCAAGGATGATCATTGGAACATCGCAGTTGGCAAGACAATTCGTTAGCAAATGAGGTTAGCATTATCAGCAGATGGTCATTAGCAGATACTAGTTAGCAATTAGCAAGATGAATTCACCAGCCAGATTAATTCGAGTTTAGCCAAGGTTAATTCATCAGCCGATTATCGCAATCAGCAAAGATTCACGCATTAGCGCGTTAAGTTACGTAATCGGGCACTGTGGACAAGGGGGGGATGCGCCTTCTAGGGTCTGTAGCGTCTTTCCTACGAATGTCACCGTCAGGCCCGGAGAAGGACCTGCGGGAAACGTCACGTGAAGACGGCTTGAAAACTCGCACGCTTCTTTCATTATTCATTATTATTTCTATTACTTTTTTGTTTTTTGTTTTGTTTTGTTTGCCTGTTATAAGCTTGCTTAACCTACTGGCAAGAAAGTTTTTGTTTTTTTTTTTTGAACAAGAGTCACCCTCTGTCGCTGAGGCTGAAGAGCGCCGTGGCGTCAGCCTCGCTCACAGCAGCCTCGACTCGCCTCCAGCGAGCCTCCCGCTCCAGCCCCTTCCCGAGTAGTGGGACATGCAGGCACGCGCCTCACCGCGCCGTTTTATTATATTTTTTTTAACTTAGTCAGCCATTCTTTCTACTTTTCTTTTCTTTTTTTAGTAGACGAGTCTCGTCGTGCTCAGGCGTCCTCAACATCCACTCAGCATGCCTCCCGCCTCGGCCTCCCTCCCAGAGTGCCGGGTATGACAGGCGTGAGCTCCGCGCCTGGCCTCCCCTTTCCCTTTGTGTGTGATAACTAGTATATTATACGTGTAGCTGGCTTTGGGGAGTGCAGCAATCACCTCTGGGCGAGGACGTGAGGGACGTGGCCAAGGGTCTTGAGGGGAAAATTATTTATTTTTACAAGTTACAGGAACTCGTTAAGGTCAGAACCGCAAAAGTAAATTCGAGGCCGTTATTCCTCAGTGCAAAACCACGAACTCCGGTTTGCTAAGTTCATGGTGAAGGGACACCCTGCGCCTTAAAATGATCTCAGCTGTCGTTGGGTCCTGGCCCTCTGGGGAGGCCAAGGTGGAGGGTGGCTTGAGGCCAGGAGTGGTTCAGAGTTCGAAGGCTGCAGGGACGTATGGTGACACCTTGAGTCTAGCTGGGTCAAGAAAAGGAAAAAAAAAAAAAGAAAGAAAAAAAAGATCATCTCACTTTTTTTTTCTGAGAAAAAAAAAAAAAAACTCACAGCAGCCTCAGTTCCTGGCTCAAGCGATCCTCGGCCTCAGCCTCCCTTTCCCCACTGAGAGAGTAGCTGGGACTTACCGCGCCCGGTCGTTTTTTTTCTTACGTGGTTTTTTTAGCGTCCGGTTCATTGATCTGTTTGTGTTTTCAGGAGAGAGAGGGAGGGTTCTCGCTCTTGCTCGGGCCTGGCCTCGAACTTCGCCTCACAGCGGGCGCGGCTTATCCTCCATCCTCGGCTCCAAATATAGACAGACGGGTTCTCGCTCTTGCTCGGGCCTGGCCTCCGACTCTCCTGGCCTCTACCAGGCGGCCGATCCTCCCTCCTCGGCCTCCCAAATATAGACAGGCGGGTTCTCGCTCTTGCTCAGGCTGGCCTCCGACTCTCCTGGCCTCTACCAGGCGGCCGATCCTCCCTCCTCGGCCTCCCAAATATAGACAGGCGCCCAGGCCCGGCCCGGCCCCCCTGGTTTCCTTGGCACTCCAAGTATTCGGGGCGGGTCATTGCCCAGCGGGCCTGAAGGTGACCCCATGCCACAGTAGAGGGATGTCTTGCTTGGGAGTGAATGTGACGTTCTAGAACAGAGTTCTGTGCAGCTGCCAGCCCGGCCCTGCCAGGCCCGGCCTCATGTTACAGCCAAACTGCTTTGTCAGGGCGGCCCTCAGCCTCCCGGCCCGGAGGCCAGTCCCCGCCGACCTCATCCCTGGGGACGACTTGTGTCCCGACCCGGGAGAAAGGCCTGGGGCCCCTGATCTGGAACATTCCTCCTCCTCCTCCTCCTCCTCCTCTTCCTCCCTCACAAGCATGGAGCCCTCACTCTCCTCGGAAGAAACCGTATGTTGCCTCTGTGTGTGTATTTCATCTTTTTTTTCTCTCTCTCTAAGAAAAGGGAAAAAAAAAAAAAAACAAAACCAAAATCCTGTCCCTGCGTTTTAGGGTTTGTACAGCTTTAAGTGGGGAGGGGCGGGGCTTCGGTTGAAATAGGGGAGCTGGACCCCCCCACCCCACCCCACCCCAGAGTTGCCCAAAGTGTGCAAAGTTGTCGGCAATGCATCCCAGCCCGGGGGAGCGTTTGCTGTTCTAGTTAGGTTTTTTTTTTGTTTTTTTTTTTAGTTTTTTAATTCATGCTTTTTTTTTTTTGCTCTTTCACTTTTGTTTCTTTTTCTTGTAACTTTTGGCACTGAGGAATGAATTTTTTTTTAATTATTATTATTATTTTTGTTTGCTGTCTTAGGAGCGACTCTGTGCAAAAGTGAGGTTGCAATCCTAGGGGCTGGAACTAATGGCTTTTATTATTATTATTATTATTTTTATTTTATTTGCTGTCTTAGGAGCGACTCTGTGCAAAAGTGAGGTTGCAATCCTAGGGGCTGGAACTAATGGCTTTTATTATTATTATTATTATTATTTTTATTTTATTTGCTGTCTTAGGAGCGACTCTGTGCAAAAGTGAGGTTGCAATCCTAGGGGCTGGAACTAATGACTTTTATTATTATTATTATTTTATTTGCTGTCTTAGGAGTGACTCTGTGCAAAAGTGAGGTTGCAATCCTAGGGACTGGAACTAATGGCTTTTATTATTATGATTATTATTATTTTTATTTGCTGTCTTAGGAGACCAGCCATGCGCGCATCCCCCCAGATCAATTGCTAAAAAAATTGCAAGTTGCAGTCCCTAGGATGCGAACTCACAAGATAGCAAATCTTGAATAAAATAAAATTAAAAAAATAATTTCTCAGTGTCAACAGTTACAAGAAAAAGAAACAAATAAAAGAGCAAAAACACCCAGTATAGAATTTAAAAGCAAATGAAAAATAAAATAAATAGCCAATGCGCCATCCCCAGATCAATTGCTAAAAATTGCAAAGTTGGCAGTCCTAAGGATTGCAACCTCACCTTTGCACAGAGTGGCTGCTAAGATAGCAAATGAAATAAAATAAAATAATCATTTCTCAGTGTCAGCAGTTACAAGAAGAAACAAAATAAAAGAGCAAAAAAAAAAAAAAACCAGTATAATTTAAAGAAATGAAAAATAAATAAAAGCCAATGCGCATCCCAGATCAATTGCTAAAAAATTGCAAAGTTCCAGTCCCTAGGATTGCAACCTCACAATAGCAAATGAAATAAAATAAATAAATCTCTCAGTGTCAACAGTTACAAAAAAAGAAAACAAAAATAAAGAGCAAAAAGAAAAAAACAACCAGTATAAATTTAAAAGCAAATGAAAATAATAAAATAGCCAATGCGCCATCCCAGATCATTGCTAAAAAATTGCAAAGTTGCAGCCCCTAGGATTGCAACCTCACTTTGCACAGAGTGCTCCTAAGATAGCATGAAATAAAATAAAATAAAATAAATCATTTCTCAGTGTCAACAGTTACAAGAAAAGAACAAAATGAAAGAGCAAAAAAAAAAAAAGAAACCCAGTATAAATTAAAATAAATAAAAATAAATAAAAATAGCAAATGAACCCTTCCCCCACCTGAGATCAATTGCCTACAAAATTGCAAAGTTCCAGTCTCAAGGATTGCAACCTCCACTTTTTGCAGAGTCACTCCTAAAATGACAATGGATAAAAATAAATAACAATTTCTCAGTGTCAACAGTTCCAGAAAAGAAACAAAATGAAAGAGCAAAACAAACAAACAAAAATATTTATAAATTAAATATAAAAAATAAATAAATAAAATAGTAAATGCTCCTCTGGGCTGAGATCAATTGCTGCAAACTGCAAAGTTCCATTGCAACCTTGCTTTTGTACAGAGTCCGCTCCTAAAATAGCAATGAAATAAAAAAATAATAATAATAGTTCCTCAGTGTCAACAGTTACAAGAAATAGGAACAAAATAAAAGGAAAAAAAAAAACCAAAAGTATAAATGAAAAGTAAATATAAATAAACAAATAAAATAGCAAATGCCACACCTGGGCAGAGATCAATTGCTGCAAAATTGCAAAGTTCCAGCCCTAGGGATTGCAACCTCACTTTTTGCAGCAGCCTCCTAAATAAGCAAATAAAATAATAATATATAATAGTAAGCCATTAGTTCCAGCCGAGGATTGCCAAACGCTCACTCTTTGCACAGTCACCCCTCCTAAGACGA